GAGTCAAGCCAAGGAGGAATCTTATGCCCCTTCTTCAAGATTTCATTATTCAGGCCAGAAAAAAAGGATTATGGTCTCTAGCCCAGCACCAAAAATGACACCTGCCACCCTATTTCTTCTTCAAGCACAACTCAAACCAAACCAAACCCAGATCTCTCTATCTTCAGGGCAAACACCAGAAAATTATGAGAGTTGTAGAATTACTAGATGTCTCATACCTTTCCCTGAGGAGCATAAGGGCTTTCCTTATACTACCTCCTATGAACCAAGGAAAAGCTTCCCCAGGCTCTCCCAGGCAGCTGGCATTCGGCGTTTGTCAGCCCCAGAGCCACACAGCATTTACTGCAGCCTGAACACAGACAAAACAATGTTAGTGTAGGTAATCAATGCCTGCTTGAAGAGGTAAACCAACACTCCAGAGAGAAAACAGAAATAAAGGGACCTGTGAAGAGTTTGGGCTTTGCACAGCTGAGATCAGGCAAAACACCAGTAGCGCGAGTCCTGCTTCAGATTCCCACTTGCAAGACCCGGAGGCATTATCGGATGATGCCCAGAAGAAGCAGGGGCTGAGCGATCCCCTCTCCACGCCACCCCCTGGCTCAGCTCCTGGCACAGCATCACTGCTGGGGTTGATGCAGGGCTGCAGCCAGCATGGTGAGTCCCATCGCCAAGCCAGGCTAATTTGGCTTGGTGGCCTGGGAGAAGCGGGGGCTGTGAGAAGCCGGTTGCGAGGCTGACGCTGGGGTACGCTGTGCAATGTGGGCACGGATCCACGGGCACACCCCTCCATCACTGCCACGTCCCTACCCTGTACACGTGGGTCTTCATGCAGCTGGAAACAGCGCCTAGCCGAATCTCAGCCCTGTGACTGAATATACAAGAAAGCACCCAAAGAGCTGAAAAAAAATTCAGCAAGACATTAAAATCATTAGCGATGAAAGATAAAGCTTCTTAGGGTATTATTTACCTCCAAGCTGATGGAAAGGCTATCCTGCTCATTTGGCCTCATTTGCCGTATTCCCAAGGAGACACATAAGCTGCTCAATGCCCCACTTAGACTCGCTGGGATTCCTCAGAGACAGCAGCCCTCTTTTCCACTACACTGACATCCAAAAATATACTTTTCCAATGCTAAGGACTCCCTCTTCTTTGTTTGGGGTTGGGAATGGGTTTCTTATTAGACAGAGGATCATACCCTTGCTCTCACACTCTCCAGTCCACCCCAAGCCCAGACATTAAAGTAACATGCCACAGACCTCTAAAAGGGAGACCCCAGTTGTAGGCTTACCCACAGGCATTAAAAAAGTCAGGACACATCACATGGCAAACAACTCAGGCAGCAGACCATCAATTTAAGCCATGAAGGGGTTTTACCTTAGAGGTAGGTGAGTCTGGTGAACTGTAGAAACCAGGGCATGGCCCATCCCTGGTTCTTCAGGGAGACACCTGGGGAAACCTTGCCCAGGGTCTTCTTGCTTGTCCTGTGCACTGGCTGGTCCACCTGGGAGATGGCCAACCACCCACACATGTATGCGTGCACACTTACCAACCTGAGCATGGGTCTCTGCTGGCCAGCACCCAGATCCTCAGGTCCCTCGGACCCTACATGGCTTTGCCTTACTGGGCGTGAAGATCTCCTGTCCTGCTGAGCAGCTGGTCCAGTCTGAGGTTCACCAGCTGGTCAAAAACACAGGCTCAGAATGGGGAGCACAGTCACACAGAAGAAATGTGAGTTAATAAGAGTATAGGACAGACTGTAGTGATGAAACAAGATTCTCAGGCAGGCAAGCATACCTACCACTGCTTACATGCCACTGAACCCTTTTCTCCCTTTTCTTTCTGTTTTCCCATGCTTGTTCCTCCCCTTTCCCCTTTCTACGTCTATTCCCCTAAACATCCTATATGAAGTTTCCTACAGTCCCTAGGTTCTGCTCTGCACCATCCCCAAATTCTCCTCCCACTGCATCCCACTGTAAGTCATATATCACTATAGGCCATCATTGCCCTTAAGCTTCATGACATTGCCAGGAGAGAGAGTTGCCTTCAGTAAGTCACCTTGGTGGGCTTTGCTGAGCAGGAAGAGGAGTGGGAACAGTTTCTGTCGGGGTTGCTGCCTCCTGTCTGACCAGCCAAGCTTGTACTTTTTGGAAGTGAAATGCACGTTGAACTAAGGACAAGGCGACACGTGCAGCAGAGGACACCACGGTGTTACGAGTCACCATAAGCTTGTTCCTTGTAGGGGCGAGCTCACTCCTGGGCACTGGAAAAGAGGAAGCATCACTTGGTCTGGGCAAAGCAGTGGACAAGGTAAGGCCTGCGACCCCCTCTGACTCCCATCGCCTGAGACACATCTGAATGCAGGGAGCCACGAGCCTCCCTTGCTCCTGGGTTAGGCAAAACATGTCCCAAGGGCACAGTGCTTGAATGGGGGTCTTAGAAATCCCACTAGCTCTGGGCAGATACAGAAGAAATAGCTTGTAGCCAAAAAAGCAGATGCCAACAGAAGATACAGAAATGATCGTGGACGACTACAAAGTTGGATTATGCAGCTGGTGCCTTTCTTAGGCCAGCAGACGTGAGGAAGGTTAAAAAGTGGGTAGGAGGGAAGGGTGTCTCACAAAATCAGGGGCATGTTAACCCACGGAGCGCATGATTGAGGCCAAGCAAAGAGGCAATGCCTCCCTCCCAAAGCGAGGGAACAGGCATGGAAAATTCATTTTGCACTTCCAAAAACTGCAAGCTCTGTGGACAACTGTGCGTGGAAAGAAGCAGGGCAGCTGAGGTGGCATGGGAGGCTCTCAAGGACACAGGCTACATCCAGGACTACTAGCTTCTGGCTCTGAAGAAGGAAAGGTTAAGAGGCCATGATGGACTGCCTGGACACGCCATGGGTAGCAAACCATCTTGGAATATGTCATCAGGCACCTGTAGCTTGGAAGGACTTTGTCCCTAGCAGCACATGGGGGGCTCCGTGGGGGAATTGAGGTGTACAACAAATGTCTCCAGAGCTTCTGTCCCCAGGTACTGAGTATCAACCAGGATTGTCAGCTGAGCATGGGTAGCATGGAAAACAGAAGTCTCAAACTGGAGATGCAAAGCGCTCGGCCTCTGGTGAGAAGGGGAAGATGACCAGCATGCACATTCAGGTGTCTTCAGTACTGACTGAAGGAGGTTGGACCGCAGGCGGAGGGAAATGGGAGGACCTGAACACGCATGGAAGAGAACAAACACGGAATAAGTGTGGATGGAGAGGAATAAGGGTGATCTACGGGGAAAGGGAGGGGAATGCAGGGAACCTAAGGGTGCGTGGAGGGGAAGGAAACGAACCTGAGGGCACACGGGGCTGACGTGGACCCGCTACTGCACTCAGAAACCTCCTTTCCTGCCCCAAAAGGCTCCTTCCCCGCTCCAGCATGGAAGAGAACAAACACGGAATAAGTGTGGATGGAGAGGAATAAGGGTGATCTACGGGGAAAGGGAGGGGAATGCAGGGAACCTAAGGGTGCGTGGAGGGGAAGGAAACGAACCTGAGGGCACACGGGGCTGACGTGGACCCGCTACTGCACTCAGAAACCTCCTTTCCTGCCCCAAAAGGCTCCTTCCCCGCTCCAGTGTCCCATTTTCTGCACCGAAACACCCGAAGGACCTCACCGCCCCTCCGGACTCCGGTAACCCCGCCGGGCACCCGAACCTCCCCCCCCCTTCCCGGACA